GTTGCGTATGATTGCACCCTGCAGCCACCAGGTTTGTTTTTAAAAAAGTTGTTCTATTCTTTGCACGAACGGAGAAACGCAGGAGAGGTGGAAGGAGCGTCATCTTATAGCTTTAAAACGTCAAAGACAAAAATCTTTAGAGACGGACGGCATTGGAGGCTGACATGAATGTTTGTGGCAAATGTCATGTCTGTTGCCTTCAATTTCAAATGACAAATCGAAAATTTTTTGTTGTGTTTTTTACAGTTACCTTGTTAAAGTAACCGATTTATATATTTCTGAGAAAACTGTTATTCGTCCAAATTGACAACGTGACATACTGAAAATACTGTTTCTGAAAATCAGGAAGTAAGATCATCTTTACGATCAGCGATTATTGTGGCCTTTGAATTTCCAACAAGAGGGGTTCAAGGCGTTTTTGTTGCGGTTCAATTTTTTCCTGGTTTAACATATTTTCAAATTACATTTAAAACTGTTCAGTTTTCCTCTGTTTCAGATTACAATAACAATAATCCGCCTTCAAATTTTGCGTACAGTTGGGCACTCAGGGAGATATACAAAAATGCCTTTTTATTTTAGAGATTGCAGCACTTTTGTTGCCATTGTAAGAATGACTGTGTGTTCGTGGTCTGGGGCTTCATTTGTATACAAAAAAATCGCCAAAAAACTGTAAAATGTTTATTTCTCTAACTCAACCTCGCTGAAACATTACAAATTAGTTCTGAGAGTGAACTGGAATACTCTAATCGATTATTTATCTCGGTACTTTTTTATCTGGAGGGAAAAAATCAGACATGGCATAGAAATCGTTCCAAGATGTTTGATTCTTACAGACACATTTCTTAAGCTTGCAATGACAATTCAAAAATAGTTTTCGTGGTTTTTTTTTTCCAGTTGTATATAGTTTAAGTAAGTTAGTTATTTACGAAAACCATAGGTTAACAGAATGGCGATGCCCCCAAGAAACGAATAATTTTAAAGCCGAATTTATAGTTGATTTCATCGACTATGTAGAGAATTAATTCAATTGCGCTTTTTTTTTATCTAAAGTCTCTTTTACATTTGTAAAGGTGTTTTAATCAAAATAAAGAATTAATGTAGTCATCCTTTCATAACGGTTTTCAGCATGTCCACTACTGCCTGCTCCGTTCCACGGAAGAAAGCTTGGATGTCCAAGAAATAGAGTGGATTATGATACGGTCTGTCACTTCTCATGTAATGATGGCTATATAGGATCTGGTTCTCAAGTAAGACGATGTCAACACAGTGGAACTTGGAGCGGACAGGAGTTTGTTTGTCAACGTACGTATGTTTTTGTAGACCCATTGAATGCCATACTTTGTAGTCATGCGGAAAGCGCTTCCTGAAAAACTCAGGGAGAAATGAACACTTCATGAGCGGCGAGTATCGTGACCTCCGAGTTCACGACAAGAGGTGTTCAAGGTGCTTTTGTTGCGGTTCAAGTTTTTCTTGGCCTAACATACTTTTAAGTTAAAACTGTATAGTTTTCCTTTGTTTCAGGTTACGGCAATAAAAACAAGACAAGGAAAACGAAATACCAATTTCAAACCCACAAAAGTGAAGTTGATCCAAAACATACACAATGGGAAAATATGGTTTCGTTCAATAAACGCGACTTTATACAAACTTTCATTTCCTTTCTGTTTTGTTTTGTTTGGTTTTGTTTTTTCAGCTGTCACGTGCCCGTTACCTACCAATGCTGTTCTTTTGGGATGCAACTCTAGTACGATAGAGATGTTATATGGCACAGAATGCAGATTCTCTTGTACGGAAGGATCTGAGGTGACCACTTCAACAATAAGATGTAACAAAAATGGAAAGTGGAGTGGGGCAAAGCTTGCATGTACAGGTATAATACCTGCGAACACTCAGTAGAATGAAAATGCAAAGGAGTAATTCAGGTGGTTCGAGAAGTTTGGTTTCTTGATATTTTAATGATCGTGGATGACAAATCAATTCACGGTCGTCAATTAGCTGATTATAGTTTGCAATGATTTTAAATTGCGGTGGTCGATTTAAAATTTTTGCAACCTTTTTTTTTCTGGTTACGCAGTCTATTTAATGCATTTATGCATTGATCTATTGATGCAAGATCGCAGAATACAAAATCCTCGACGATCTTCAATAGCCAGTCAATTCACAACTTTCAACAATCTCACTGTGGTTTGCAATGACTGTAGATTTCGATGATCGATCTAGAATTGTTGCACATTCTCAGTTTTATTTCTGGCTAAGCGGTCTTTTCCTAGCATCCTTACATTGATCTACCCTTGTACGATTAAATTCAATATCTTGAAAATCTTGAATCGGTAATCGATGAAGGATCGTAAATGTACTTTTCTAGTTTGCAATGATTGTAGATTGCGATAGTCGATCTAAAATCATTACAAATCCAAATTCGTCTCTCTGGCTCAGGCTACACCACTGTCTAATGCATCTATGATTTGACATGGTGATGCACGATCGAATTCCCCAAACTCGACAATCTTGAATCACCAATCGATACAGGATCTTAGGGATTTTAGTTCACGATGGTCAATCTGACATCGCTGCAACATTCCTCCTTGTTTTTTTGCTGTGTTTAACACGAGATTAAGCGGGGATTGATCGATTTACCATCGCAGAATGGATTATCACTATCTGTGTAACGGCACATTTACATTTTGCAATGTTTAGTCTAATCAAGATATCGATACCGACTGTAACAAGGGATGCATTCAGGTCTCATAGTACAGTCTTCCTTTATGAGTGCTGATTTTCTGGTGAGCTCGTTTCCCCCATAGCTTTAGGGCTACATTGCAATATTGTCACAGACAGGGACAGCTTGGAACTCGCTGCACAACCTCACGCAAGAAATGAACCGACTAAAATAACGCAAGGTAAGCAATCGCTGTGAAGAGTAAAAAAACCGTCGTGTGCGCCCAGCTCCCAACACGTGGCTTCGTAGCTCAGTTGGCAGTAGCACCCAAATAGTAATTGGGAGGACGGGTTCGAATTAAATTGAAGCTGACCACCAAGGATATTGTTCAAATTTCAAAACACCTGGGAGAATCATTATTGACACTACTTTATCTCTTCGCTTTCTTCCATAAGGTTAATCAGCCAGACACCAGAAAAAAGACTTGTTTGGGAAGATTGAAAATTGAAGATTGAAAAGTTCAAGTTCAATGCTGACCTTCAGTAAAGGACCATGAGCCTCGACAAAAATGATTAATTAAAGGTTAGAAACCTTTTATGATTCAGGCAAGTGCCATCTTGTCATGTTCAAAGCGATTGATATCTCCTGGTCTGTTACTTTTGATTCAGTTAATCGCACTTTGGTCAAGTTCATCGAATAAAAACCTATGTTTAATAGCACGACTATCCAAACCAAAGAGAATTATATCACAATGAACGTAAGCATTTGTGCGCGTTAGAGGAGAAATGCATAGGTATTTCATGTGAACTCTTTTTGAATTCATGGTTATTAATTAGCTCTTATTAACCGAGCGGGAAGTCTGTATGGGAGAATCTTGACCGAAGTCACCAGTACAGACCGAACGCAGTGAGGTCTGTACCAGCGACCGAGGTCAAGATTCTCTCATACAGACCGACCTAGCTCGGTTGATAAGATGTTTATTATATGGCTGTGACTAGAAAGCAACGGAACATTATATTTTTTGTACCTTTTTTTTCCCACAGGCAGCCCAAGCTCTCTTTGAGAACCACACAAGGAACACAGTTTGCATATTTATAAGGATTTGTATGGGATTTTCTACAAGACATCCACAGAGATAGTTAAAAGTGAAAATATTAAATAAAAATGGCTTACCTTGTTCCACACGTGTGTTGTTTACTCCCGGTGTCATTATTTTACCGATTTCACTTGATTTAAGCGGTTTTTTTTAATCCTGGTTTTCTACCACATAAAGAGAAGACAAGGCTAAAACGACAGGGCTAAAACTTCTGTCCGGACAGCCTGCCGAACGAAGTAAAAAATCCCAAGGTAAAATGTACCCACGGTCACGAATCCACCGCATAATTCAAGAGCAAAGGTTGATCTTTCATTTCAATTCTCTAGCCACACAATCTCAGCCCGGCGATCGGCGCCAGGCGGCTCTTCGTGTCCTCAGTGAAACGCTATAACGATGGTAGACGTCCGCTTACATTTGAACCACGACACAACGACCGTTGAAATCGGCTTTGTAACCTCGTCATGTTGGCAAACCAAGACTCGCGGGGTACTAGACCTCAACTTGTCAAAAAAACTTATTGTACAACCCAGGGTTTCCTCACTTCGAACCTAAAATGTACCATCGTCTCAAGCACCTAATCAGAACCACGCAGCATCTTGTTTACACGTGCGAAATTTTTGCAAAACGCGGAGGAAACCCAGGAAGAAACGTAGCCGGTCAACTTGTTATTGCTTTTCAATCATGTAAGTATTTGAATTGGTTTACATTCTTTCTGTTTTCTTATCATGTATGTATGTAGGTATGGACATATGTCTCCCGCTCTTGAAAACTTCAAGATTTCCAATATATTCGCATGTTGTAGTTTCTTAACAGCGATCACGTAGTCTCCCTTGCAGCCCTTTCCGGCGTCGTCACGCAAGCGAAAACTCCCCCACCGTGACGACTCCGGAAAGGGCTGCAAGGGAGACTAGCGATCACGAGGTGATGTTGTATTTCGATTTAATACTTCAGGGTAAAGTTGAATGTGGACCAGAGTCAAATAGTGGACTTTGCGTTTAAAGGTCACAATTTATTGATTACTGGCCAGGCTGGCGTTGGTAAAAGCGAGGTCGTAAAAGCATTTATTGGAAAGGTGAAACGTGCGGGAAAGATGATCGGTGTGATATGTTCGAGCGGCATTGCTTGTCAAGTGTATGATCGCGGCGTTGCGTCAACTGTTCATTCGTTTTATGGCTTATCCACGGCAGAATTACCTTGGCGACAATTGATTGATCGCTCGGCTGAAAATTCCGTAGTTCAAAGGCCTCGACATAATTGTGTGGGACGGGGCCAGTATGTCATCCCAGAGGATGTTGTTGACAAGTTGAGGTCTAGTACCCCCGCGAGTCTTGGTTTGCCAACATGACGAGGTTACAAAGCCGATTTCAACGGTCGTTGTGTCGTGGTTCAAACGGAAGCGGACGTCTACCATCGTTTTAGCGTTTCACTGAGGACACGAAGAGCCGCCTGGCGCCGATCACCGGGCTGAGATTGTGAGGCTAGAGAATAGAAATGAAAGATCAACCTTTGCTCTTGAATTATGCGGTGGATTCGTGACCGTGGGTACATTTTAGCTTGAGATTTTTTACTTCGTTCGGCAGGCTGTCCGGACAGAAGTGTTTGGCCCTGTCTTCTCTTTATGTGGTAGAAAACCAGGATTAAAAAAAAACCGCTTAAATCAAGTGAAATCGGTAAAATAAAGACACCAAGAGTAAACAACACACGTGTGGAACAAGGTAAGCTATTTTTTTTTTAATATTCTCACTTTTAAATATCTCTTTAGAGATCTTGTAGAAAATCCCATACAAATCCTTATAAATATGCAGCTTGTGTTCCTTGTGTGGTTCTCAAAGAGAGCTTGGGCTGCCTGTGTTTTTTGTAGACCGGTCTAGATGCCGGTCTAGATGGGAAAGTCTAGACCGCTTTCAATATTGATTTCAGCCAATCAAATTCATGAATTCGGTAGTTCCCAGTCCTTGCGGGACACAGCCATATTATAAATTGGAATAATAATAACAATAATAATAATAATAATACACCCTATTTAGAAAGGGTGGCACGGAATGGTTGAAGTAGCTAATAAACTTGTGGGCCTCTATTTAAAAGTTCTAACAAGCATTGTATGTTGAACTGTAACATAACTATCAAAAAGAGAAACTAGCAAATCGGCGTTGCGAATGTTTATACGCTGCTTTCACTAAGCAAAGGCGTATTTCTAGATATCGGCAGGTTTTGTAATTCTGCTTTTCTTCATTATCTTTCTTACGCCTAATAGACGGAACACAGCGTAATGTCATAATATCCTCAAATCTCTCAAGCGCACATAGCATTACTCTGGATAGACAACGCAGGCTTCCTTTCTGGGTGGACTATAGTAATAACACAATAGAATCTGTTGAGCATGATAGCAACAATAAAGTACTACTGAGTCGGTACGAATGAATGCCATGGAAATACAGTTCCAAATTAATGCGTCAGATGGAACAGTTATCAGTTGTGTTCAATTTGCTCCATCCGGATCTCGTGGAATCGTTGGATATGACAGCACCTTGTAGCCACCAGGTGTGCAATTATGTTCTAAAAACTTATATCAAGCAGACAGTTTTCTTGCCAACAGAAGCAGAATTGAAATCGATCTGCTAGTCTTTCAAAGCTTAAGCTAG